CGTGGAAGGTGAGGTCGAACAGGTGGCGGAACACCAGCAGCGACTCCAAGTACCGCTCGTTCACGGCAACCAGGTGGTACGTTGCGACGATGGCGTGCGCCTGCGAAGCACTGCCGTCCGACGCATTCACGCGCAGGCCACACGGCGCGAGGTACTCCGCTGCGGACGTCCGGTGCGCCGCCAGATATGCCAGCTTGAACTCGTCCGAGGAGCGATCAACGTCCTTGGGGAACTGAGACTCCACGCCGCGGCAGTTGCTGCGGGTGAGGCAAAAGTGGTAGAACGCAGACAGGACTGCCGCCTGCGGCTCGCGCACGAGCGAGATGCGCAGCCAGGGGTGCTTTGGGCCAAATCTGTTCACGCGCATGAAGATGTTGCAGGCGCTGTAGTGGTACACGGAGTAGAAGGGTTCGCGCGCGATGGACGTCGTTGGGATGACAATCTGCTTGTTGTAGGTCCGCTTCATGCCCAGCATGAGGCCGCTCATCGTGGTCCCGCCAACCTTGAAGTACCTCACAAAGGCAATGCTCGCGTTGTTGAACGCATGCGCTTCTTGTCCACCCAGCCCCACCACCGCCAGCAACACCACCGCCACCGCCAACACCATCATCGTCATCGTCATCGCCACTGCCATGCACTCAGATTGCCAGGTCCACCTCAACCGCCAGCCATGAGATGCTGGACAATAAATAGTACAAGGTCTTATATATAGGCCAAACCAGGCACAAGGCAGACATGCACGGCAACACAGAACGGGTGACAGACACAGACAGGGCGACATACACAGACACACACACAGGCAGATACACACACACACAGATCGACAGACAGAGCGACAGATACAGACACACAGACACACACATGAGAGCTCAAGTCAATCGCTGTCATCGTCGCTGCTGTCGTCTGGGATGGAGATCTTCGCTCGCTTGAAGGGGTCGTCATCGTCCTTCACAGCAGCAGCAGCAAAGGCCGCAGCGGTGCTGCTTGCGTCTCTTCCTGCTTTCCTGCGCACATATGTACACATTGTCATTGAAGAGAGAGGATTGAGTACACGGGATTGGAGGATAGTAATGGTGGCAAGACGCATAGACATACACGAGTACAGAAACACACACGCCCTCATGCTTGCGCATGCACCACCGGGGAACTGACTTGCTCTCGTCCTTCGTCGGCTGAGCTTGTTGTTGTTGCTGCTGCTGTTGCTGTTGCTGTTGCTGCTGCTGCTGCTGCCTCTTCTCCTGTGCCCTTCGCTTCTTTGCTTGGCGCTTTCGTTTCCGCGTTGCTGCCAGCTTCTCTTTCTGCGAGGGAAGCATTGGGCGTGGGGGGTAGATGGGATGAAGTCAGTGAAGGCCGCAGAGATCGAGAGACACAGTGGCACACACATACACACACAGAAAGCGTGCACACACACACACACACACACACACACACACACACACACACACACACACACACACACACACACACGCTCGCACTGACACACACACACACTCACGTAAGCATCCACAACGCACTGTGTATACCTTGGCCTTTCTCTCTTCATAGATCTGCTCGAGTGGATCGAGGTGTGCCTTTGATGCGATCGCTGGGGTTGGTGGGGCAGGTGTCCGGCTCTCCACCGCAACTATTGGTACTGGCGTGGATGCAGCTTTGTGGGACAGCGTGACCGCCTTGCCCTTTCTCCCCTTTGCGGAGCTGACGCCTTCATCGTCGCTGTCAGACACAACATCCTCCACTGAAACACAAGCGGGAAGGAGAGGGTGACATAGGGGGGGGGGGTTGTTGCCAGACGTGAAAACGGGTTTGTGAATGGGTGTGAGGACATGGGTGCGCGCACGGGATGCAAACGCGCAATGTATCGAAGAGCAGACAGACAGACACCCCCGACACCCCCGACACCCCCGAGGGGGGGCACACGACAGACACACACACGCACACTCACACACGGCACACTCACACACAGACAGACAGACAGACAGACAGACAGACACACACACACAGACACTTACTTGCGATGGCTAGTAGCGCATCTGTTCGGCTCCCTTCGCTTATCTTTACAAACTTAGAGCGCGTGCGTTAGGACTAAGACTCGAACCTCTATCGGTACTTCCGCTCCTAGCTTTTTAAGCAGCCCTACATACCGTAAATAGATCTGCTTTCTGGATCAAGAATCTGCTTCACGGCACACTCACACACAGACAGACAGACAGACAGACAGACAGACACACACACACAGACACACGCACACGCACGCACACACACACACACACACACACACAGACACACGCACACGCACACACACTGGCACACTCACACACACTCGCACTCACCAACACACTTACGGTCTTCTTCCTCGGAGAGCTCGCCTGACTGCCGTGCCTTGCGAAGGCCCTTCTTGATGCTCTTAGTGAGCGCAGATGCATGTGAGGTCTGCTGCGCACGACTGGGTTTTGCACCGAGTCCAAGTCTGTGGGTTCGTCCAACGCCCCGCTCAACCGCGTTGTGCTGCTGGTTGTTCCCCTCGCTTGCACGTGCGTTCTCAGCTTGACGTGTGCCAGCTCGCCTCTTTCCCTGTTCCCCTTGCCGTGTTAAGAGTTGCTGCTGCTGTGTCTGTTGCTGCTGTGCCTGCTGCTTCGGTTCCTTGCCTGACCCTGATGCCTTCATGCGGTCCAGGAACTTGCGAGCGAACACAGAGCTCGCGGTTGACACATTCACCTCCATCCTCTTGCTTGCTTGTCTGCTGCCGTGTTCGTTGTCCTTCCACCGCGAAAGAAAATTCGCACATGTGCACGCTGTACCTTGTGTGTGTGTGTGTGTGCTTGAGTGTGTATGTGTGTGTGTGCGTGTGTGCGTGTGTGTTCGTGTGTGTGTGTGTGTGTGTGTGTGTGTGTGTGTGTGTGTGTATGTGTGTGTGTGTGTGTGCGTGTGCCGTCTTTGTCCACCCTCAGTCGTTGTGCTTCGTGCTTGCTTCACTCATGTCAAAGCTTGCTTGTTCAATATGTCATCACGCTGTCATGCGCGCTCATCCACACTCACACACACACAGACACACACACACAGAATACACACGTGCGCACACAGGCAGAGCACTGCCTCACTGATGTTGCTGATACATAGATATATGCGTTATGTACACCACAACCTCACAAGCACATGGACATTCAGATTGCTTCCTCGTGCTCTATCTCCCCCTTGCCCCCCCCCAACACATCACAACTACAACCCCCACCACGCCCACCCTCCCCCAGCATCACATCACATCACATCACATCACATCACCGCCGCCTGCGCTTGTCGTCGTTCTGAAAGGTCCACCTGTGCACGTGTTCCCACGTGCTCGTGTCGACCGGCGAGTGCTCCCGCCCTGCGTCGCGGTGCGGGATGACAATGTACGGAAAGGCCACGCGCACGGGCATGCCGCGGTCGCACAGGTAGCGCCAGGCGTGGTCAAACGGCTGGTTGGCGTGCGACGGGTTGCTCAGCCACGTCAGCAGCAGCTGCATCGCCCGCCGCTCAAGCACAAACGCAAACGTGTTCTCCACGCCCGAGTTGAAGTTGTAGCACATGGTGCCGGGCGTCCTGCGCATCTCCTCATCCGCCATCGCCCACCCGCCCGTGTGCGCGTCCACCCGTGGATATGTGCCGTTGCGGGCAATGGTTGCGCCGAGCAGCAGCGCGCCGCCCGATCCGGACGACAGGTAGCTGCCGCACCGCGGGTCCTGCAAGAGCGTGTCCAGCCGCTGCGCAAACACCGGCGACAGCACAACGTCGTCCTCCACCACCAGGTACAGCGCGTCGTTGTCGTCCGTGGCGCTGAAGACGCGGTGCAGCAGCAGCCGGTATGTCTCCCGCCGCCCAACGTCCCGCGCACTCAACGCATGCACCGCGCTCGATGGCGACGACGATGACGATGAAGACGTGCTGTTGCTCGACGCGCCCTTACCCTTGTCGGCGTGTGCACTTGATGATGCAGAGGAGGATGCGAGGTAGGAGGAGGACGTAAACGCCTGGTGTGTGGCCGTGTCGAGGTGGGCACCGTCAACCCCGTTGAACAGCGACGCCTTGATGCTGTGCGCCCGCAGCTCCTTGGCCATGGCCATCGCCCGCGCAACAGAGCCCTGGTCGTGCGCCAGGTGCAGCACAAACGCCTCCTGCAGCTTGCGCGGGCGGTGCGGGCGGCGCGGCGGGCACTCGCGCAGCACAAACCCAGATATCTCGTACTGCCGCGCGGGGTTGTACACGCACAGGTTGCGCAGCTGGGGCGGGGTGGGCCGCTGCTGCGTGGCCTTTGGGTTTGGGAAGAGCGGCAGGCGGTTGTAGAAGACGGCCTCGTGGAACACAACCATGTCGCGCTCCGTCTTGAGCGGGTGCGCAGACACGGTGTTGAACAGGGCGCTGTTGAGCGGGTGGTACAGCGGCAGCACGCTCTGCGCTTGCTCGTTCAGCGTCACCCCCGTGATGGCGCCGTCGCGAAAGTCCCAGTAGCGGTTCATAAACGACCAGCGAAACTGCTTGTGCACGTGGTCCATGCACGTCACGCCGCTGTGCTCCGTCACAAAGTAGGAGAAGGTGGTGTCGGAGTTGGGCAGCTTGGTGGCCTTGGCCTGCACGTCGCTCGGCACCGCCCCCAGCGTGTGGCGGCTGAGGATGTACGCGGGGCCCATGCAGTACGCAGGCAGGTCGCCGTCGCGCCCAGAGCCCACGCCACCGGCAAACAGCGGCCGCGTGGGCGGGTTCATGGCCAGCAGCACAAGCAGGTTGGGGATGTTGAGGTACGTGTCTGCGTCCACCTTGAGAAAGTAGTCGTAGGCGTCGAGCCACGTGGTGCGCGCGTGCTCCCACATGCACAGCACCTTGTCCACAGGCGGGTAGTCGTCGCTGCACTGCCGCAGATACACCATCATGTTCTCCTCCACCTCGGGCTCCCCGGAGCACGCCTGCTCGCGCGTGCCAGAGTCGCCCACCACGAAGCGCACCGTCACAAACTCGCGGCCGGGCAC